GCTAGTGACCCTGATCAAGAATATATATACTTTATAGGGTCGGAAACGCTTCCTTCTAGCTGTTACATACTTTTGCACGAATACAATATACCCTTTTACTCTACGAGTAACGGGTATAATGATTTATTATACCCGTTTATCGATCGAATGTGGAATCTGAAAATAATTCGTTACTTTGCTGTTTTTGTATTGGATGCCAATCTTTTACTGTGTGTACAAAGGTTTTCGTTTCATTCAAAACAAGAAATTTGAAAACAACAAATTCCAATTTACAAACAAGTATACATATTTGTGCGCAAATTAAAATTGCATTGATAACATTGTAACTGATAAAAAGTATACTAGCTCACGACTTTTACTTGGATCACTTTCATTTATTATATAGCTTTGCCAGTATCCTTCTGATTCTCTCTCTTAAAGGATCTTCTACAAAGGTTGTTTACACATAGGTTTACAAGAAACGCCCAAATAAGAAATAAGAAAGTCCTGACAACCCATTTTCCTAATTCTAAACTAATATTAAGCGAATGAGCAAAAAGTCGTATACAATACAATTTTACAAAGCGTTGGGGCTGAGATGGGTGAAATATTTTTTTTGGTTGCACCTGGAGGGACAGGTAAAACCTTCTTGACAAACTTATTGTTGGCAAAAGTTCGAAGTTCAAAAAAAATGGCCCTAGCTGTAGCATCTTCCGGTATAGCTGCTACCCTGCTCAATGGAGGTCGAACTGCTCATTCTACATTTGAACTTCCTTTGGATTTAGTTAATTTAGAAACACCTCATTGCTCTATTTCAAAGCAATGTAATATGGCTGCGGTGTTTAAAGATTGTAAGTTAATTGTTTGGGATGAGTGCACAATGTCACATAAAGTTGGGCTTGAAGCCATAAATAGAACCCTGCAAGATATTAATGAGAATACTATGTTGATGGGTGGTATTACAGTCCTGCTAGCTGGAGACTATCGCCAAACCAAAGGAGACAAACAAAGGAGACAGTTCTGCAGGAATTTTTGCCGAAACTCTTTTAAAAATTGGGAATGGCGTCCATCCAACAGTTGATGGAAAAATAGTTATAACATCACGCTTAGGAAATGTAGTCAAAAACGTTCAAGACCTTACATCCAAAATATTTCCTGACATTTCCAACATATCATGTAAAAGCTTATATGGCTATCTGAGCGCGCCATTTTGACAACGAAAAATGAAAGAGCAACCACTATTAATAATTTATTGCTAAACTCATTTGATGGTTTAGAAGTCTCCTATAAATCGGTCGACTCTGTTCCTGATGCTGATAATGCTGTATGCAATGGGACACGATTGCAGATAAAAGGTCTTCATAAGAATGTAATCGAAGCAAACAGTATTTACGGGGTGCGCGAAGGGAAACAGTATTTATACCCATTAATACCATCCAGTCTGCCGTTTCAGTTTAAAAGGCTACAATTCCCTCTAAAAGTTTGCTTTGCAATAACTATAAATAAATCGCAGGGGCAGAGTTTGAAGCTGGCTGGACTAGATCTTAGAGAAGATTGTTTCTCTCACGGACAATTTTATGTCGCATGCTCTGGAGTTAGCTCTGCCAGTAGCCTTATTATTCTCGCTCCTGAAGGATCTTCTAAAAATTTTGTTTACACAGAGGTTTTAAAGTAATCATATTAATTAACATTATTAAACCTAGAAAGTTTCAGTGGAATAGGTCTAATTGGAGATACCACATTAAAAAAAACGAGCCAATTTCTCTACCTCAGGGGTGGTGTGGAATTGGGAAAGTCTTGACAACCGTACTCAAAACTAATTTTAAGTGAACGAAATCGCGCCGGGTACAGCTAGTATGATAATAAAAGAGTTCGAAGCTCGCCTGTTAGGCGCTCTCTGCAGAAAACTAACTTCTAACCTCCTTCTGACCTATCAGAATGCAAGAGTAGCAATCGAACTTAATTGTGTACTGATTGTCTTTTCTTTGCATTCCATGATATCGGGTTTAGAGAAAACTGGTTAAAGCCGGAGATCGTAAGCTCCAAAGTTTTATAGAGGTACTAGCTGTACCCGGCGCGACTTCGTTCGCTTAAAATTAGTTTTGAGTACGGTTGTCAAGACTTTCCCAATTCCACACCACCCCTGAGGTAGAGAAATTGGCTCGTTTTTTTTAATGTGGTATCTCCAATTAGACCTATTCCACTGAAACTTTCTAGGTTTAATAATGTTAATTAATATGATTACTTTAAAACCTCTGTGTAAACAAAATTTTTAGAAGATCCTTCAGGAGCGAGAATAATAAGGCTACTGGCAGAGCTAACTCTAGAGCATGCGACATAAAATTGTCCGTGAGAGAAGCAATCTTCTCTAAGATCTAGTCCAGCCAGCTTCAAACTCTGCCCCTGCGATTTATTTATAGTTATTGCAAAGCAAACTTTTAGAGGGAATTGTAGCCTTTTAAACTGAAACGGCAGACTGGATGGTATTAATGGGATCCTGGGTATAAACACTGTTTCCCCTTCGCGCACCCCGTAAATACTGTTGCTTCGATTACATTTTTATGAAGACCTTTTATCTGCAATCGTGTCCCATTGCATACAGCATTATCAGCATCAGGAACAGAGTCGACCGATTTATAGGAGACTTCTAAACCATCAAATGAGTTTAGCAATAAATTATTAATAGTGGTTGCTCTTTCATTTTTCGTTGTCAAAATGGCGCGCTCAGATAGCCAATCTAAGCTTTTACATGATATGTTGGAAATGTCAGGAAATATTTTGGATGTAAGGTCTTGAACGTTTTTGACTACATTTCCTAAGCGTGATGTTATAACTATTTTTCCATCAACTGTTGGATGGACGCCATTCCCAATTTTTAAAAGAGTTTCGGCAAAAATTCCTGCAGAACTGTCTCCTTTTAAGTGCACTCGCATATTTTTCGTGACCGCTAGTTTTTTTATCTGTGGCCATAAAAATGAAGATTTTAAACAGGCCTTTATTTCGTCAGCTCTTGTACCTCTTGGCACAACAGGAAGGGTTTGGCGATAGTCTCCAGCTAGCAGGACTGTAATACCACCCATCAACATAGTATTCTCATTAATATCTTGCAGGGTTCTATTTATGGCTTCAAGCCCAACTTTATGTGACATTGTGCACTCATCCCAAACAATTAACTTACAATCTTTAAACACCGCAGCCATATTACATTGCTTTGAAATAGAGCAATGAGGTGTTTCTAAATTAACTAAATCCAAAGGAAGTTTAAATGTAGAATGAGCAGTTCGACCTCCATTGAGCAGGGTAGCAGCTATACCGGAAGATGCTACAGCTAGGGCCATTTTTTTTAACTTCGAACTTTTGCCAACAATAAGTTTGTCAAGAAGGTTTTACCTGTCCCTCCAGGTGCATCCAAAAAAAATATTTCACCCATCTCAGCCCCAACGCTTTGTAAAATTGTATTGTATACGACTTTTTGCTCATTCGCTTAATATTAGTTTAGAATTAGGAAAATGGGTTGTCAGGACTTTCTTATTTCTTATTTGGGCGTTTCTTGAAAACCTATGTGTAAACAACCTTTGTAGAAGATCCTTTAAGAGAGAGAATTAGAAGGATACTGGCAGAGCTATATAATAAATGAAAGTGATCCAAGTAAAAGTCGTGAGCTAGTATACTTTTTATCAGTTAAAATGTTATCAATGCAATTTTAATTTGCGCACAAATATGTATACTTGTTTGTAAATTGGAATTTGTTGTTTTCAAATTTCTTGTTTTGAATGAAACGAAAACCTTTGTACACACAGTAAAAGATTGGCATCCAATACAAAAACAGCAAAGTAACGTATTATTTTCAGATTCCACATTTGATCGATAAACGGGTATAATAAATCATTTTATTTGTATTTAAGCACATTATCTACTTTCGAATAGAAACATACACACACATTGTATATATGTACATGTATTGTACATATAAGCAAATCAAAACATATCCAAATATACATATGTACATACGTATTTGGTCAAAAGTTCGAATCTTAAGATTAATATTTAACTTGGAAACATTTTGGCTTTGCTTACAGAATTTGTAGTAATTTTCTATTTTCTTCCATGGTGTAAATTAAATAAGGCTCTTACTTCTGCTACAAAATGAAAAATAAAACCTAAGCATTTGATCCACAGGACTGACTATTGATCGAAAATCATATTGATCGGAGCAGCAGTTTAAGTTTTTAAAATCCTAAACAAATTTAACTTAAATTGCCTCTTTCCCCTCCCCTTTCCCTGCAGCACTACCACCACTCACCATCATCAGTTTTCTTGGCTGTTGCTCTCTCGGCCGTCGCTCTCTTGGCTTCTGGGTTTCGTTCTCTCGAAAGGCTCCCGCAAAATGCAACGCAATGACTTAGAAAATGTTAAAAACTTGAAAAATTAAACTTAAGCATTTGGGCCATAGAATAACTATTGAGCGAAAAATCATCTTGATCGGAGCAGCGGCTTAGATTTTTTAAATCGAAAAGTTAATTTTAAATGTAGCCCCCAAATTATGGGGGATATCGAAATTTCTTTTAGATTTCTAATTAGGCCTTTTCAAAACCTAAAATTCGGAAAAAACCAAATATCGAAATTCCAACCACTTTGTAAATTAAGCATAAATACATAAACTTTTTTTTTCTCAGAATAATGGATGTTGGAGTGGGGCCACTGGGGGGACATATCGGATCTAAGTGGGCGCCCACGCCCCCAATGGAATACTGTGAAAAAATTTGGCTGCTCTTGCTCTTACGGTTTGGGCTGTGGCCGTATCCCCTTAAAAATCGGTCTTTCATTTTATAATCTTTAGGGATGAAAGTGATCCAAGTAAAAGTCGTGAGCTTGTATACTTTTTATCAGTTACAATGTTATCAATGCAATTTTAATTTGCGCACAAATATGTATACTTGTTTATAAATTGGAATTTGTTGTTTTCAAATTTTTTTTGAATGAACCGAAAACCTTTGTACAAGTTATTTTGGTTTGGTATTTGGTATTTAATTAATCCCTATTTCTCCTAAACCTGTTAAGGCAGAGGATAATAAAGACACGGTGCGATATTAAGTTTATTATTTATTACTCCTAAACCTGTTAAGGTAGAGGATAAACAATACTTGATTTACAAAACACAGCTAAGGCTGCGGAGTACAAATTTAGACTAACTTAAGGTCCCGGTCCGGCCGCGGCTCGAGGCTTTTGCCTGGTCGCAGCGCTGCCGCTAAAGTGCCGGGTCAGCACTTGGTATCCGGCCGGTGGCGATCATCCGCTGAGTAAGTGTTCCCAGCGCCAGAAATAAAGCGCCAGGTCAGCAGCAGATATCCGGCCGGTGGCGATCACTCGCTCCGCGAGTGCTCTGACCGGGCTCCGGGCAACTGCCCTCGGAGTGCAGAGTCGGCGGTTTCCTTACTGCGCGTGTTGGCCACCGGATATGGCCTGCAACTCGACAATTTGTCTTTGTGGGAACTGGGTGTGTTAACTTCTCCCTCTTTTAAGTGGTCGCCGTCCCGGTGACCTGCTGCTTCTACGTCACCATTAGCCCCTGATTTGACGGGGCTCCTGGTCTTCAGATGGTGGTAGCCGAGCCAAACAGTGGAACACAGTAGGAAGGAGGCGAGTAGGGTGATGGAGTAGCTGAGGAGGGAGCCCAAGGAAAGCTCTTCTCTAAGGGTCCCGATGTGGTGAAGGTTTCTCAGGCTCAGCTCGTGGAGAAATGGGAGACTTAGCCGGTTTTGGTGTGCCGTGACGTTGACAACGGCCATGGCCGATACGGCGGGTTTTTTCATCGAGTTTCCCAGCTGATTTATGAACCAAGTTCCGTTGAGACTTATTCTGTCGGAATAGGTTACCAGGTAGGTCCCAGATATTTTTTGGTCCCGTCCTTGGTCGTCGGTTATGGTCATGTTGGCCTCGTTCACTATGAGGGTGCCGTGATCTACTACCGTAACTGGATCCAGATGCCCTGGAAGCGTGGAGCAGTGCGCAGTGGCTCCGGAAACTAGTTGCTGGGCACAAGTACCATTTTGCAGCTCCCTGCAGAAGGTGGCGCCAACCGTCGTCTTGCAGTATCCGATGTTGAGATTTCGCCCTGGGCACTCAGCGACTAGGTTTCCTTTTTCAAAGTCCAGTATTTTTTTGTTGTGCTGGACCGGGTAGACCGTTATCTTTTTACATACGAACTTAGGATTAGGAAATTTAATAAGAAAATGGAGGATATCGAAATTTTGAAAAACACTTATACTAGATACTTCTAATATTTCTATTAAACTAATGTTAATAGGCTGCTTGTCCCTAAATTCGCCAATGTCGGAGCTATCTAGAATTGCCGGACTTACAATATTTAATTTTGCTAGGGTTAAGCCCATTAGGATATTTTCCAGATCTGTGATAACGATTCTATTTTTTGCCAAAATGATTTCCAAGAGGTGTGTTTCTTTATTGGTTTCAAACTTTTGAATTTGATTCATTGCGCTCGCGAGTTCGTTTAAACGTTCCTGAAATTTAATATTTAATTCAGTTTGCCCCTCGTCTGCGTTCATTAGTTGCTCTTGATTGAATTTTATCTGTTCCCAATCATTGAAGTCGGGAGTGCCTGCAATGACCTTTAAAGCTGTCCCAATTAAGTTTATACTTCTAGCGGACCTATGATGGATTTTTAGGGTAGCTACCAACTTGCGAATGTGCTTAAGGTCTGTTGTTATAACCGGTATTCTATGGTCGTCAGTAAAAGTCCTCGTCAATGTTTCAGTCTGGTCGGCGTAGTCTTCGTAGGTCGTCATGTTCGTTGCGTGCTGTAAGTATCCGTAAGATTCCCAAACTACTATGCTACCGTCCTCTATTGGGATATAGTCTGCGTTCGTATAGTCGTTCAGTTTTACTGTCGCGTCCGTCCTAACAGCCGTTAGTGCCAAAAGTAAAATGCACCTTCCTAACCTAGAGAAATATAAAGTTGTAAAAAAGGAATATAAGAATAAAAAGAATACAAAATATAAAAAGTATAAAAATGGGTCGGGAATCTAGCGAAGATGATTAGCGCAGATTGTCCTTGTGGACCACCCTCCCACTAATTAGGACCGTTGTCCCCAGGTCTGCTTCAATAACTTCTTCCGAACATAGCGGTGAGAGTTTATTTCCCAGGCGTTTGTTTGCTTTAAGAAAAACTCTTTCACCGACCTGATAGTCCTTATAAGTCCTACCCTTGTTTACGTGGTCAAGGCTCCTTTCTTGGGCCTGTTGAATTTTCCTACTAATTCCTCTCTCGAATTCTGTGGACTTTGAGTGAACTATTTCCATTGGTTTCCTATCGGTTACTGAGTGAATTGAATTGTTATATTTGTAAGCTGCCAAAAGGATTAATTCGACAGTGTCATTTAGTTTGTTTTCCAGTTTCAGGCATCTGGCTATTTCTGCCAGAGTACTATGAAACCTCTCCACTTGCCCATTTGAGGTGCTATGTAGGGGTGGAGCGTTGGAAATGGTGATATTGAAGTGGTTAAGCAAAATTGATTTAATGGTTTCAGAGTTTAGTGATCTTTCATTATCGCAATAGATTGTTTTTGTTTTTGGAAAAAAATTTATTACATGTAGTAAGGGGGCTTTAATGTCCACAATAGCCCTCGATGCGATGGCTTGCACTGTGGCGAATTTCGAGAATTTATCTACGCAAGTGAGGAAAAGTTTTCCGTCTGTTGAGAAGATATCGATGTGTAGGATTTCTCCCACGGAAAAAGGAATAGGTGTTTCCGCTATCGCCTGCTTAGATGGATGGCGTTTGTATTTTCCCATAGAGCAGGTTCTGCAGTTTGAGGTGATTTCCGTTGCTAGCCGAAGCATTTTTGGGAAAAAGTAATCTCTAAGGATTTGCTTCACATTTTCCTGTGCAGCTCGGTGAGCCCTGTTGTGTTCTGTTATGACGATCTCCCTCTGTTCGGTTGTGTCCGTTATGTCCTGAACAAAGCTCTTCGCGTACTTGAAGGAAGTGCTAGGGAACGACTCGACCAGCTGATGTTGAATAAATGCCAAAGTTGGTAGGGAGCAGTGAATTGCGTTTACTACCTCAGCGTTTACGACATCTTGTAGCGTATTTAGAAGGTTTTCCCGATTAGGTGTTCTAATTGTATGCCTCACCTTACTCTTAAACAAGATAAATGTGTCTATCGAGAAGCTGTTTCCGTCCTCAATTATTATTTGATTTCGGAAACAGTTTACTGGGTTGTCAGTTGTATCAATCGTGTACGTAAGCGACTGTTCGCTGTGTATTGTGGCTGCATCTGATTCCTGTCCGTCTTCTAAGGCGTTTATGTTCTGGCGGGATAATGCGTCCGCCACAAGGTTTTCCTTGCCTGGCTTATAAACTAGTTTTGCGCCATGATCATCAATAATCCCCTTCCAACGTTTTAGCTTCGCGTTGGGATTTTTGTCCGAGACAGCAAAGGTTAGTGGCTGGTGATCGGTAAAAATCTGTAAGTCTTTTACTCCGTAAAGGTAATTCCGGAGGTTTTTTAGTGACCAAACAATGGCGAGGAGTTCTCGTTCATTGGTCGCATAATTTTTTTCGCAGTCACGTAGGGCACGTGAAATCATTGTGATTGGGCGGCCATCTTGGGATAGCACCGCCCCCAAACCAAAGCCCGATGCATCCGTTGTTAAATCGAATGGTTTCTTAAAATCTGGATACGAGAGCAGAACATCTTCTGACGCCAAGATTTCCCTTAGTCTGTCAAAAGTTTCTCTCTGTTCTTTGGTGAAATCTATGTCAATTTTCCTTGACTGGTATTTGCTGGCTTTCCCATTTTCTCCCTTTAGGATGTTTGTCAGGGGTCTTGCGATTGTCGCGAAGTTTTTGATAAAGCACCTGTAGTAGCTTGCTAACCCCAGGAAGGATCTGAGGTCGAAAAGTGTTTTTGGTTGGGGAAATTCTTTTATGGCTTTTACCTTTTCAGGTGAAGTTCTAAGCCCCCCTTGTGACACAATGAACCCCAAGTACTCAACGCTCTTTTTAAAGAACTTTGATTTTTCCTGGGATACTCTCATGCCTGCTTCCAGGAGTTTGGTTAGTACCCAATCCACGTCTTTAACGTGGTCCTCTTTTGTCTTAGAAAATATTATGACGTCATCTACGTACACGTAGCATAACTTAGAGATTCCTTCTCTAAGCACGTCGTCGATGGCCCTTTGAAATATGCTTGGGGCGTTTTTAAGTCCGAATGGCAATCTACAGAATTCGTACTTGCCGTTGTTTATAGAGAAGGCAGTCTTTTCCCTGTCCTTCTCCGCCAGCTCTATCTGGTGAAAACCTGATTTGAGGTCGAGTGTCGTAAAGAATTGTGACTCGCCCATGTTCGACAGTATTGTCGAAATTGTAGGGATAGGGTATCTATCATCTACGGTTCTTTCATTCAACTTCCTAAAGTCGATAACCAATCGCTTCTTCTTAACGCCATTTTGGTCTGTGCCTTTTTTTGTCTACAACCCAGGTAGGGTTGTTATATGGGGACTTGGATGGCCTTATTACGCGGTCCGCAAGAAGTTGTTTAACCTCTGCATTGACGAATTCGGTTACACCCATGGGATGCGGGTACGACTTGGAGTACACCGGCTCCCCGTCAGTTTTAATCGTGGCGATCGTGTTTATATTAAACGGCAATGCTTCGTCTGGGTCGGCGAAGGCCCTATGATTTTTTACAATCATTTTGTCAAAGGTGGCTTTAATTGCCAGGGGAACATCCTCATCATCGATTTTTATAAAGTTAACGTTTTCTGCTTTAGTAAACTGGATCTTTTCAGTTCCATTGTTTGTAAGCAGGATATTCCCAGTAAAATCGAGTTTCGCATTCACTTGTTTAAGCAAGTCGAGCCCGATAATACCGTCAAAGTCTTTAAGGTTATTTAATATAAAAAAGGGTGTTTTTACGTTAAAAACTGAAACTAGACATTTTTTGTCTATTTTGGTGAAGCCATGTATTGATTTCACTGTGAAAGGTTTTTCCGCCGCCACGATGCCTTTTAGCCCCGGGGGTGGAGTGATATAATTTTTGGAAGTGCCTGTATCTAGTAGTAATTTTATTTCACTTCCTGCTACCTTACGCGTAATGTAGGGGAGCAGGGACTTTACCCTAAAAAATTACAGGAGTCCTCTGCGTCTAACTCGTCTTCCATCTCAGTAGCGCAGGCCTGGGCAATGGAGTCATAATCTTCGTCGTCGGGTTTTTCTTCCGGCATGAAGTTTATTTTTTGTTGAAACCGTGCCGACTGCCCTTTTTGCCATGTTGTGGGCTGCCTAAATCTGGAGGAGGTATCAACCTCCATTGGCTCTGGTGTTGGCTGGCCCTGATTATTCCCTGTGCTATTATATGGTTTCTGACGGAAAGAACCATTTTGGTTGTTGGCTCCTTTCTGGGTCCTAACGAAGTGAGGGTTTTTTTTTATTGCCCCTTGATTTTGGTTCTGCTCATAATTTTTCCAACCTGCTTGTCGCTGGTTGCTCGGCTTAAATGATTTTTCTTCACTGTGCCGGGCGAAGGTAGCCGCAAATATGCTCCTTTCGTTACTTGATTCAGCCTCTTGCGCTAACGCTAATGCTGATGGCAAGTCCCGTGGCTGTGCCGGAAAAACGGCTATTTTCAGTGATTTTTTTAACCCAGATATGAACGCATGCAAAGCGTCTTCTCTGTGTTGTTCATTTAGGACGGCCGCTGCGGCTGCGTCGTGTGTCATGATAGTTTTGTTAGTTAGAAGCGTTAGCTTCCGTTCTATTTCATCGTAATACTTGAGCAGAGGTAGTTCCCCCTGCCTCGACAGGCTTAATTCTTGTTTAATTACGTGTGTCGGAGTTTTGTCCGCATACGTGAAGTCTAGGCGTGCCAGTATGGCATGAAAATTGAATACCGTGTTGAAAGAGGATAGCGCAGCAGCCGCTGGTCCCCTTACTTTGTTTTTCAGTATTCCGACAGCCTGATAATGTCGGCTGCTGCCTTCATAGCCCTCAAATACTTTGTAGGCTGCGGTGGCAGCTTGTCTCCAGCAAACATAATTTTCTTGTTTACCGTCGAATTCTGGGACTGACTTGACCATGTCAAGAGGTTCGTCACAACGTACTCTTTGTGGTTCTAATTTAATTTCTTCGAATGTTTGGATTCGTGTAACATTATCCTTAACTTTTAATGAGTTTAACTCCCCTACAATTGCGGCTAATTTTTCATCAAATAGCTGCTGTTGTTTTTGGAGTGCGCCAGCTATGGCGGCCTCCATATTTGCAATCTGTTCTGCTTGCATATCTTGTACTTCTTGCTGGGTTTCTGGGTTTGTGACGTTGAGAACGCTGTCTCGAATGAATACTGCCCTACTGCTAGATGGGTAATCTGCCTCGGAATGTTGGTAATTTTTATTTTTTACGTTTGTATTTAAGAGTTTCCTATATTCCTCGAGAACCTCCTCGCTGAAAACCGTAACCTATACATAGATCCGTATTTCGAAATATTTCATGAGAATAATTTATTTTCAATATTTATTTTTTTCCACAACGACAGTAGAAGAGAGAAAAAAAAATTCAAATAAAAATGTGTAGCACCAGTTTCTATGGGTGCGACGAAATCCGATCAAGAGCTTTCCTGAATATTTTGTAGATGAGTTTTAATGTTTTCTCACTCCGACAATTAGATGTGGGAATGGTAATTTAAAAAATTTTTTTTTTTTTTAAATATCTTGAAAAATTTGTTTTAATTAATAATTCATTTTATTAATTGAAATAAAAATTTAATACACGGGGAATACTAATGCTCCCACCGTTAATAGATTTTATTATAATTTTAATATTTTAATATTTCCAGAAAAACACTCCTTGTTTCACTTGGCAATTAATAATTAATTTGTTCAAAAATAACAAAAATTTTGTGTGGGGAAAATAATAATGTGTGCCCACTGTACCGGCAATTTTACTTCTCCGAATACTTTATTATTTATTTATTAATTAAAAATAAAAAAATTTGTGTGGGGAAAATAATAATGTGCCCACTGTACCGGCAATTTTAGCTCTCCGAATACTTTATTTATTGGCGAGTGAAAAAAAAGACAAGAAGCCTACTCACATTTCTTATGGTTACTCCGCCGTCGAGATTTTTTATTTGTTGGTTCTGCACGCGCTGCCTTCTCTGCCAGTTGTCTCTGCCGGCGCTGCAGTTGTCTCTGTCGCCGCTGTTGTCTCTGCCGCCGTTGCAGTCGTCTCTGTCGCCGCTACAGTTGTCGTTGTTGTTGCTGCTGTCGTTGCTGCTGCTCCTCGTTGAGTTTCTCGGGTGGCGGGTGAGAGGTCTTGTGTTCCCCTTTATTTCCCGTCGCTGATTTCTTAGCGTTTAATTTTATATGTCTCTGCTGTCAGTATCGATGCTTTATTTGCTTTATTTATTTTGCCGTTTTTCTATTTTATTTTATAGGCAATTTAATTATTTATTTATTATTATTTTTTTAAATTCACTGCACGGTGTCGCGCGAGTATTTTTAATACTTTTGAATTTCAAATTACTTTTTGTAATTCGCACGGTACCGAGCATCGCGGGATCGGTTACGTTGAGCGCCAGTTATTTTGGTTTGGTATTTGGTATTTAATTAATCCCTATTTCTCCTAAACCTGTTAAGGCAGAGGATAATAAAGACACGGTGCGATGTTAAGTTTATTATTTATTACTCCTAAACCTGTTAAGGTAGAGGATAAACAATACTTGATTTACAAAACACAGCTAAGGCTGCGGAGTACAAATTTAGACTAACTTAAGGTCCCGGTCCGGCCGCGGCTCGAGGCTTTTGCCTGGTCGCAGCGCTGCCGCTAAAGTGCCGGGTCAGCACTTGGTATCCGGCCGGTGGCGATCATCCGCTGAGTAAGTGTTCCCAGCGCCAGAAATAAAGCGCCAGGTCAGCAGCAGATATCCGGCCGGTGGCGATCACTCGCTCCGCGAGTGCTCTGACCGGGCTCCGGGCAACTGCCCTCGGAGTGCAGAGTCGGCGGTTTCCTTACTGCGCGTGTTGGCCACCGGATATGGCCTGCAACTCGACAATTTGTCTTTGTGGGAACTGGGTGTGTTAACTTACACACAGTAAAAGATTGGCATCCAATACAAAAACAGCAAAGTAACGTATTATTTTCAGATTCCACATTTGATCGATAAACGGGTATAATAAATCATTTTATTTGTATTTAAGCACATTATCTACTTTCGAATAGAAACATACACACACATTGTATGTATGTACATGTATTGTACATATAAGCAAATCAAAACATATCCAAATATATGTACGTATTTGGTCAAAAGTTCGAATCTTAAGATTAATATTTAACTTGGAAACATTTTGGCTTTGCTTACAGAATTTGTAGTAATTTTCTATTTTCTTCCATGGTGGAAATTAAATAAGGCTCTTACTTCTGCTACAAAATGAAAAATAAAACCTAAGCATTTGATCCACAGGACTGACTATTGATCGAAAATCCTATTGATCGGAGCAGCAGTTTAAGTTTTTAAAATCCAAAACAAATTTAACTAAAATTGCCTCTTTCCCCTCCCCTTTCCCAGCAGCACTACCCCTCCCCCTCATAAGTTTTCTTGGCTGTTGCTCTCTCGGCCGTCGCTCTCTTGGCATCCGCTCTCTGGGTTTCGCTCTCTCGACAGGCTCACGCAAAATGCAACGCAATAACTTAGAAAATCTAAATAAATTCGTTAAAAATACTTAAAAAAATGTTAAAAACTTGAAAAATTAAACTTAAGCATTTGGGCCATAGAATAACTATGTAATCAAAACATATCCAAATATACATACGTATTTGGTGAAAAGTTCGAATCTTAAGATTAATATTTAACTTGGAAACATTTTGGCTTTGCTTACAGAATTTGTAGTAATTTTATATTTTCTTCCATGGTGTAAATTAAATAAGGCTCTTACTTCTGCTACAAAATGAAAAATAAAACCTAAGCATTTGATCCACAGGACTGACTATTGATCGAAAATCATATTGATCGGAGCAGCAGTTTAAGTTTTTAAAATCCTAAACAAATTTAACTTAAATTGCCTCTTTCCCCTCCCCTTTCCAAGCAGCAATACCACCACTCACCATCATCAGTTTTCTTGGCTGTTGCTCTCTCGGCCGTCGCTCTCTTGGCTTCTGGGTTTCGTTCTCTCGAAAGGCTCCCGCAAAATGCAACGCAATGACTTAGAAAATCTAAATAAATTCGTTAAAAATACTTAAAAAAATTTTAAAAACTTGAAAAATTAAACTTAAGCATTTGGGCCATAGAATAACTATTGAGCGAAAAATCATCTTGATCGGAGCAGCGGCTTAGATTTTTTAAATCGAAAAGTTAATTTTAAATGTAGCCCCCAAATTATGGGGTATATCAAAATTTCTTTTAGATTTCTAATTAGGCCTTTTCAAAACCTAAAATTCGGAAAAAACCAAATATCGAAATTCCAACCAGTTTAGAAGTTAAGCTTAAATACATCAACTTTTTTTTGCTCAGAATAATGGATGTTGGAGCTGTTTGGGGCCACTGGGGGGACATATCGGATCTTAGTGGGCGCCCACGCCCCCAATGGAATACTGTGAAAAAATTTGGCTGCTCTTGCTCTTACGGTTTGGGCTGTGGCCGTATCCCCTTAAAAATCGGTCTTTCATTTTATAATCTTTAGGGATGAAAGTGATCCAAGTAAAAGTCGTGAGCTAGTATACTTTTTATCAGTTACAATGTTATCAATGCAATTTTAATTTGCGCACAAATATGTATACTTGTTTGTAAATTGGAATTTGTTGTTTTCAAATTTCTTGTTTTGAATGAAACGAAAACCTTTGTACACACAGTAAAAGATTGGCATCCAATACAAAAACAGCAAAGTAACGTATTATTTTCAGATTCCACATTTGATCGATAAACGGGTATAATAAATCATTTTATTTGTATTTAAGCACATTATCTACTTTCGAATAGAAACATACACACACATTGTATGTATGTACATGTATTGTACATATAAGCAAATCAAAACATATCCAAATATATGTACATACGTATTTGGTCAAAAGTTCGAATCTTAAGATTAATATTTAACTTGGAAACATTTTGGCTTTGCTTACAGAATTTGTAGTAATTTTCTATTTTCTTCCATGGTGGAAATTAAATAAGGCTCTTACTTCTGCTACAAAATGAAAAATAAAACCTAAGCATTTGATCCACAGGACTGACTATTGATCGAAAATCATATTGATCGGAGCAGCAGTTTAAGTTTTTAAAATCCTAAACAAATTTAACTTAAATTGCCTCTTTCCCCTCCCCTTTCCCTGCAGCACTACCACTCACCATCATCAGTTTTCTTGGCTGTTGCTCTCTCGGCCGTCGCTCTCTTGGCATCCGCTCTCTGGGTTTCGCTCTCTCGACAGGCTCACGCAAAAAATTAAAAATCGGTCTTTCATTTTATAATCTTTAGGGATGACCGTCACTCTAGACAGGGACGTGGATTCTTAATTGGCTTGGACCAAAGACCAATATAATCTCTAAGATGCGTAACGCCATACGATTTTTTTGCACACGAATTTTTTGTGCTGGTTTTCAACTGGCTTTTCGCTCTCTTGCCCAAAAGCCAGCGAGAGAGCGCTCTAGAGCCAGCCGCTCTCTTGCACGCATACTGCGACAGCCGAAGACTGTATGTGTGCACATGTATTCACAAGCGAAGAAATTCGCTGCAGCGCGCTGTCGAAATATACTCTTTATTTTAAATTCTAACATAATTAAAAATACTTATTTTATGTAGTATGTTTTTTAGTAATGACCAAATATATCTACATACGTATATAAAGATACATAATTTATTTCATACATGACTTTACATTGGAATAATTGTCATTAGGGTATTCAGCGTGCAACGTGTGAACGATTTTTAGGAGCCTCAGAAATATTGCGATTGAACAGGATGAATATTTTTATATTTATTGTATTTTAAATATACGGATTTAAAAATATGTGGTATTTTTATATTATACGTATTATAATAGCATTATATAAAATTATTATCATAATATAAATTAAATTTATATAAATATTTGTATATTAACTATTTTAATTATTTAGAAAAAAGAACAACCCAAAGGGGAAAAAAAAAAGGTTTGCGCGAGTTACCGTACAGGCACGGCACGCTGAGCCCCCAACGAAACCTCCCCGAGCTACCCTAATTTCGACACATATAAACTAAAGTGTTGCAACTTTAGATTTAATTGACATTTAGAACAACGACCGACCAAAGGGCCAGTCGTTGCTCTTGGACCCATTTTTGTCAACACTGCACTTGAGAGGAAACCCCAACTCCTCTCAACCAGGAAACGCGACACCGACTCAGCGGATCGCCACTCGAAGCAGCGGCACTCGAACTACACACTTATGTTTATGCACTTTGTATTAGTATGTAAGATATACATATATATACATACTAGCTGTACCCGGCGCGACTTCGTTCGCTTAAAATTAGTTTTGAGTACGGTTGTCAAGACTTTCCCAATTCCACACCACCCCTGAGGTAGAGAAATTGGCTCGTTTTTTTTAATGTGGTATCTCCAATTAGACCTATTCCACTGAAACTTTCTAGGTTTAATAATGTTAATTAATATGATTACTTTAAAACCTCTGTGTAAACAAAATTTTTAGAAGATCCTTCAGGAGCGAGAATAATAAGGCTACTGGCAGAGCTAACTCTAGAGCATGCGACATAAAATTGTCCGTGAGAGAAGCAATCTTCTCTAAGATCTAGTCCAGCCAGCTTCAAACTCTGCCCCTGCGATTTATTTATAGTTATTGCAAAGCAAACTTTTAGAGGGAATTGTAGCCTTTTAAACTGAAACGGCAGACTGGATGGTATTAATGGGTATAAATACTGTTTCCCCCTTCGCGCACCCCGTAAATACTGTTGCTTCGATTACATTCTTATGAAGACCTTTTATCTGCAATCGTGTCCCATTGCATACAGCATTATCAGCATCAGGAACAGAGTCGACCGATTTATAGAAGACTTCTAAACCATCAAATGAGTTTAGCAATAAATTATTAATAGTGGTTGCTCTTTCATTTTTCGTTGTCAAAATGGCGCGCTCAGATAGCCATATAAGCTTTTACATGATATGTTGGAAATGTCAGGAAATATTTTGGATGTAAGGTCTTGAACGTTTTTGACTACATTTCCTAAGCGTGATGTTATAACTATTTTTCCATCAACTGTTGGATGGACGCCATTCCCAATTTTTAAAAGAGCTTCGGCAA